GATACAATAAGATTTTCTGTTTAGCTTGGCTCTTCCATCCTCTGTGGTGGAACTTCTTCTCTTCTACCCAAATAGAAGTGGGCTGGGCCAATGATGTCTTTCCACCCGTACACAAAGGCCTTGTAGTGCGGGTAGTCTCTATTTGGTGTCATGTATGGGGTGAAATTTGGCTTGTTGATCTTATTATTTGTTCCGTAGACATCACCAGTTCCAAATTGTCTGTTTGCTGTGTTTTTTCTCTCTGATTATGGATGAACTGAAGGCAGGAGTGAACGAATCGAAGCGAAAGCTTGAATTGGAGGTGCACTAGGCTGAATTGGCTACATTAAGACTCGTAAATGAAAATATAAAACTAGCATGGCTGGAGTTGGGCCAGACTACATTACACCGAGATCGTTAATCCACGAAAGAAATTCCAGCGTGGTGCTGTGATGCGGTAAAGCCAGGTGACACAGAACTGTATCTCGAGAGATTCGACCGCATAGTGAATGTCTATGGCTGAGCGGATGCTGACCATGGAGAGGTACTCATGTCTTAACATAATGGAGCGGCTGAGTGCTACCTGCATGTTCACGATTGAAAATTCAAGGGATACCGAGGATTGAAAGCTCGTGAAACAAGTATTTTTTAAAAGAAGCAAGACCTTTTAGAGGACGGGCCTTATTGAAATTAAAACGGGTATCCTCCAGCTCCTTTCTCTCCCATGCTCTCTTCTTATTCCTGAGGAGTTTCTTCTCCAGCCTTCTTTTATTTCTATATTTCTCTGCGGCTCTCCTGACGAAGCGCTTATTTAACATGTTCCTGTAAGCTTCGTTATTCGCATCATTGACCAGCTTACACTCCTCGTCTAACCACAGTCAACACATGCATACCGCTACGAGGAGGCAGGCTTTCTAGCCTTTACCATCGATGAGTTGGGAAACGAAGTAGAGAAAAAATGTGCTCAAACGGTTATGAATCGTGTCGTTCTCGGTAGGTTCCAGCTAGTTATAGAAACTCGGGCAAGAAAGTATTTGAAAGCACAGGATGTGAAGACGGCTGTGGATGCTATGAGCCTTGCTGAGCGACTTTCTTCAGAATATGACTTTAGGACAGAAAAAAAATTGTATTTCGAAAGATCATTGCTTATCTGCAGAGTAAGAAGGAGAACAGCACAATGACTATTATGGACAAAATGGAAAGAATGTTCGTGTTCGAGGTGTACGCTCCAATCAAACACAGAAATTTCGGGGCGTTTCTAGTCGATCTAGTAGAGCTGTTTTTTCTCAAAAGTTCGATGGATTGAGAAGCTTATAAAATATGCATCAAGATAACTAACTCCAGCTGAGATAAATTATTCCACAATGGAACGGGAGATGCTTACTGCCGTCGGGGTAACAACTCAGAACCCTTTACAGTGGAAAGTTTGTCGTAGTAACTCATCATGTTCCCTTAAAATGATCACAAAGGTTTAAGGGACCCTGCACAACCCAGACGTCCTACACAAAAATGCCAACTCTTTTAGCAGAGCTTTGCTTGTTATTGTTGGTGTCACTAATCAGATTCTTGCCCGAGAAAGCATCGCAAAGAAGCAGACAGCTGACGAGGATTGTATGAAGATCTTATTAGATTTGAAGGACTCGTGCATATTGGATGAGGAAGGATTACTGGTTTACAAGTTGGTTATACACAAATCTGTAAGACCATATTTGCTGAAATGGTTGCACGATGAGTCTTCCGCGGGCCATGGCGGGATCAAACGCAGTATTCAGCGTGCTGAGAAATGCCTTTATTGGAAGAATCTTCCGCGGGATATAGAAGATTATGTGAACCCTCCTTCCGCACCACCTGTCCGGATCAAATGGTTGCAATGGTTATCCAAGGTCCTTTTCCTATAACCAAAATAGGGAACAGATATTTACTTGCGTTTATGGACCATTTCACAAGGTACTCCGAGGTCATTCCTATCATTCCAGCCTTCTTTAAAGAACTTATATAAGCATAGAAAGCTTAGGATTCGTAAAATACAGAGAACCGCCTTCCAACCTATCGCAAACGGTCGCGTCGATCGTTTACATCGCACCTTAGACGATAATATGGAGGGAAACGGGTGGCCGAGCGGGCTAATGTGGTTGTACAGCACCGTCGTTGCCCGGAAGGACTTTTAACTCTTACATTAATCCCTCGCCCTCACCTCTGGTCCGGTTATTCACTAATTTAATTTTCTAAAAAGTTACATCACGATTTTTTGGAATAAACGGATGTTGATACCTAATTATTTAAATATAATATCAAATCTAGAATTATTTAACTACTGTAAATGTATTTAAGGTTATAAACATATGCTTTATACATCCATAAGTTGATTTGATATTTCACTTTTTCTTTCACACAAGTACAATGAATTTTTTTTAAACAATAGCATTGCCTTGATTAGGTGGATTTTAAATACTTTTTTCAAACTTTAAAATATTTTAAAAGTTTACATTCAGTAAATTTTATTTTATTTTCTTGAAACATGTGATTAACGTTAAATAATATTACTTTTCAAAAATTATTATTTATAATTTATTCGCCACTCTCCGTTACCTTCTACAACTTTCTATATTAGATATTGTTTTTTCTTAAATTCTTCGCTCTCCAACGATATATTATACGTGTACCTTCTAACTAGTATGTCCGGAGATTCATTTTCGGCCTTGATTAGCATTTTTATTTATTTTTTCTCCTTTATTCAATTACCAAATTCTTTCAAAAGTTATATTTAGCATTGTTTCGTAACTGTTAATAATATGAGATGATTAATTATTTAAAATAAACCATATTACAGGTACGTTAGAGGAAGACGTACAGTGATACCCGAGTTTAATCAAAAACGTTACAGTCGTTTTTGAGGAAATAGTAAAAATGTGTTTCAGCGTTGATATAAAGTGGCACTTCCAGTTAGCCGATTTTAAGGGAAAAGTTGCTAGGACATCTAAGGCATATACTTATCTTAAATACGTAATATCAGTTTCGTATTTTCCTTTTCAAGCTAGTTCGAGCTAGTTCACATACACACAGACTATTTTTCGGGACTTGGTTATTTAGATTCAGCGTACCTCAAAAAGTGAATTTCCTTTGAAAACTCAGATTCGAAAATTTCAAGATCGCATACTATATATTACATACCTTACTATATTACATATAAACGTAAGTGAAAGTAATTCGGCATATGGCCATAAAAATGAAATTGTGCCTGAGACAAAATGAAAAAATATTGAATTATTTATGTATAAAAATACCAAAAATCTCGTATTTTTTTTACTGTTCGTGTAAGATGTGCTGAATTTACTCTGTATTTACGTATAAGATATTGTTATTTTCTGTCTTGGTGATACCTGAATTAGTGAAAACTTGACTAGCTTCGACCATACTCTCTTCGTCCCAAATCTTCATGATCAGGTTTTGGATTACCTTCCTCAGTTCGTTCCCTCTAGACCATAATGGTATAGTGAATTCCATCCAGTCCCGAGACCGTTATATTCAGATGTTTTAGGCATCCAAATATGACAAGGCTTTCAGTGCCAATAAAATTGCTTTAATTAATTTGAGGCCCATTTTCTAATCGGTTTTGAAATAGCAAACAGCTGTGAGTATGCGCCTGATCCTCCATTGTGTGTTGCTGTTCGGCAAAATCATCGGTGTACGCATTAATCTATGGAAGTATTACTTTCAGCAATTATTTCAAGAGCCAATAGTTTTAGTTATTCTGGTATAACCTCTTAATTTATAAAATGGGTTTATTAAGGTTGAGGTTATATGATGCAGTCTTTACCAGAAATTGAAGTGGTATTAAAAAACGTAGTTCCCTTTAAACGGAGGGCAAGTTTATTTTATCTTTAAGCTATTGGGCTTTCTCTAAAATCGAAACCTGCGATATTATTCTTTTGGATGGTGGCTTATTCTTTGGCCAGTGCTCGATTAGAAGTCCATGTCCGTAGAGACTTATTGAACTTACTTCTCAACGCATCAGCTGTGAGTTTTGGATTTTGTTGGGTGATAAATAGTTACGATGCAGTCATTGCATATTTTTTTTTTAATTTGTGCGATCATTTCATTAACCTCATACCATATTTTTAGTTCCTCCAGAACGTTGCCCAGAAAATTTTCCAAAGCAGTTATGTGGCTACTAGTCATCAGGTTACAATAGCATTTTTAGCCCAGGGAATTTGTTATGCAGAAATTCAGTCAATTAATTAATTATATATTAATATAATAAATTTAATATTGATGTTATTAATTTATGAATTGTATTATTAATTTATGAAAAATAAATTTATGACAGTAATTGTTAACTTGTATCAACATTTTGAATGAGGCGTAATACAAAACTTATAAATGAATGGGTTTTTTAATTAGTATTAAAGTTTAATTAGTGTTAGTATAAGTACTAATAGTAATTAATAATTAATAATAATTAGTCTTAACTGTTTCTCCATTCTATTTGGTTTTCATCCTCTCTTTTCGAAACCTATGAATGTTTTCGATGAACTAACATTTTACTTTTACACATTTCAGCTGGTAATTGCATAGCACTTCTAATATCCTTCCATTCATTTTCTTTTGAAAATTTTTTATAACTTACATCTCTTGAATTCCGCTATATAGGGTATTTTTTATATAATTCAATAAGCAGAAGGAAAAAAAAGCAGAAGACATTTTTCGTTCATCCACTCCATTTTGCGATGTTACACACAAGTGACAAGTGACAGAGTGGATATCCGGCTCAAGGTTTTACTGTTCAGGTTTTGTTTGTATCACTGATCTTAAACGTTGCAAGCCAATTCTTTGACCAATTATTGTGATGTTTACCAAGGATATTGCCCTTAAGACGGAAAAAATGAGGAAGTTAAAATTAAATTATGCAAAATTTAACCCTTTTTTCTCATAATTACTTTTCATTTTACCCATATATCATTTAAGCATCAAGTTATAAATCATATTAAAGCATGTATGTTAATTATATCTATTTATTTTAGAGAGCTCAGGCCCTACGGCAATTGATATGTGCACTATATGAGCGCCTTGGACTTACCTACCTATTATATTTTTCTGAGGGTCTTGCCAAAACTAAAGGTTCGGATATTTATTATGAAATAGATCGAGAAAAAAATGACATTATTGTTTGGAACAAGAGAAGTAGATCAGTGATAGCAAGAATTCCGGCATCTAATGTGGTATGGATTTTCTTTATCATATTTTTTATATTTTTGACAATGGAATCATAATACTTTTAATTAATAATCTTATTAAGCATTAATCTTAATACTTTTGTTATGAATGTAATTATATATTATAATTTAACGATAATTATTAAGTTAATATTACTTATATATAAATTGTTTTATAATATTTCCTGCACATTTATAAAACGTTTTGTTCTATTCAAAGAATCTATCTTAATGAAAAAACATGAACAAATACGTTTTTGTGTTTGCCTTTCCATTTATGCCATAGAATGGTTAGTGGAATATCCTTACTATTTAATATAATAGAGAGAGAATCACTTTATTATCATAAAAGGGTGCTGCCCAATTACATTGGGTTGCTTTAAACACAGCATACTTATTAATTGCTACAGACAATTTTCCAAAACTAATATACAATTATATAGTATTAACATGTATGAGCATAATATACAATTTTTTTTTTTTTTATCTATATATATTTTTTTTTATCATAATTTTTTTTCCTATATTTTTTTTTTTTTTTTTTTTTTTTTTTATTTTTTTTATTTTTACTATTTCTTTCATTAATTTATTAGCATTATACGTCCCTTTCTGTTCCTTCTCTCACTCTATACATTTTTCTCGTTCCCTAGATTTTCTCCTCTCTTTTCCTAACCTAATTCATAACATGCATACAAATACATAAAGTGCAGTGGACGTGGTCAATAAATAATGTAAAAATGCTGTAAAACATGCATGCCTCCCCCCATGAACAAGCTCTCTATCCATGCACATGGTGATGGATAATTCCCAGGGAGTCAAGGATTATGTTCTCTGCCAACCTTGCCACATCCTTTATGTCGACACCAAGGCCCTCCATGAAGCTCCTTGTTGAGTCTGGTATCGTTCCACGAGCTCCGAACCAAAGGCCTCTCACGTGGAACTCTCTCGGCCCGAAACTCTCGCGGAACTTTTCACTAAGGAAAGGGATACATTTATCATATGTCTGTTTTTTCTCCCTTTCCACTTTTCCTGCCTGATCGAGGCTGTTGGTCTCATATCTCACGGTCGGATCCAAAATCATCGCCGACTTTTCCGTCTTAGGGAATGCTACAATGTCAGCATATCGGGTGGATCCATCCGTATCTATACAATATACTTCCTCGAAACAGGCGTAATCTCTCTCTTTAAGGAGCCTCATCAGTTCATGTTTGACTCTGTGGTGACGGCGCGTTATAAGGAGGGAGTTGTTGGGGCATTTTCCAAGCACATGTGCTGGTGTTTCTGGCTCTCTGTCGCATTTGCGACAGAGGGACCCAACTTCTCTTACCTGTCCGCTGACACCTGGGACTCCACGCAGGGGTGCATAATTAATATTTAGTTTCAGGGCATTTGACCATTCAGACCCAAAAAGTACTTGCTTATCATACATGTATTTATTGGCTTTTGGGGTCTCTTTAAAATGGCAAACTCCAATGCCCTGCCACCTACAATTGGTCCATTCCTCAAACGAATTTCCTCGAAGCGATTGCCGTAGAGCTCTCATATTCCGAATACCCCGATCAACCCCCAATCTCATCGGCTTTATTTATTCTGGGACGAGTCCCTTTAGAATAATATAGAAAGGTAATAATGTGGGCTTAGGAGCCTTAGAGATACATAAACAAAAATATAGAGTTATTAAATAGTCCAAATAGAAAACAATTATAAGGTACTTACTAATTTAGATCAGTTAATAATAAAAAACAAAAAAATGAAAATAAACATGAAATAAAAATAATGAAGAACGATCTAATAATTTGTATGCATATTTACAGTGGTAACTATTTACAATTTTATATGGACTGGATGGATAACAAATGATTGAACAGGCGGGATTTAAAGGTAGGAAGGATTTTGGATTGACGGATGTGGGGAGGGATGGAGTTCCATACGGATGAGGATCGTATAATGAACGATCTGTCTAAAGCAGCGGTTTGGTGGGCCCTTATGTATAAATCAAAAGACTGGGAACGAATGGAATATTTGAATTGAAGGAGCTCGGAGGTGTATGAAGGACGGTGGGATTGGGTGACTTGACAGAGGAAGGATGTCAGGAAATACTTGCGATGGTAGAATGGATAAAACCACTTCAACTCTGCATAAAAACGAGAAATAGAGGCGTGCCTTGGGATCCCGAAGATCAATCGCACAAAGCAATTTATCAAACGTTTTAATTTCACCTCGAGATGAATAAACTTAGTCATTATTTTTTAAAAAAATCAAGATCAAAAGAAATAATAAATTTTTGTATTCCGATATTTGAAGTAAAACTTTAAATGGGTGATAAAATTTATCGAATTAAATTTTACTTTACCATTTTAAATAAATTTCTGTAAACATAAGCATATGGCATCTGAGGCTGCAAAAGATCTTAAATAAATACTATACAAATATAAACATTTAAATAATACTTTAAATTTATTTTTTAAATCTTAATAAAAGACCTAATTTTAATTTAAAACAAAATAAAATGAACCCAAATTCATAAAATTAACAGGGTGTCCAGGGACCGAGAAAATCTGGATATCGGAAATTGTGTTAGAATTTCTCTGACCGAGAAAAAAACAGGAATTGTAGGAAAATTTTTCAAAAAAAACCGGGAACGTTTCATTATTTTTTTTATTGTTCTGCTTTTGCGACAAAATAAATGAGCTTGTATTTACATACTTAACAAAGAGTATTGTCGTATTCACATAATCTTTAGAATGAATATTTTTAGCGATTATTAAACAACCTTTGAATAGCCACATTGTGGCGGTATTTTGCCTTTAAAGTAATTGACATTATTTGGTTTTTCCATGATGAAAATAATATCTATCTGTATGGGTGGCCAGTCGAAGAAACAGGTATAGGATGCCTGGTGAGAAGGACATGGATTTCCGAAACTATTAATTTTTGCAAATTTAATATCTATTATAAATTTGTGTAAAAATAAATATATGATAAATAAAGAATATCTCATCATAATTTTATGGTAATATTATTGTGTTCATTATCACTCCTGTGTATGGATCACAAGTGTATGCATTTTTAAAGGCTTGTATTTTGATACAAATATTTGTATTTAGACGAGTAAATTTGCCGTAATATTAATATTAAGTTTTAATTAAAAATATTTACTCATAATTTTACGTGAATATGACAATATTCTTTATTACACCTTTTAATACAACTATATTTGTATTTACAGGAGTGAATTCAATAACAAATAAATGTATTTAGACTTGTTAATTTGAAAAAAATATAAATTTTTTAAATATAGAAGAATATTTATCCATAATTTTATGTGAATATAACAATATTCTATATAACATATTTAAATATAATTGTGTGGGAATGAGAAGACATATGCCCAACTCTGATGTGTAAGCGTGGGTTTTACTTAATTGAGTCTCTCAGTCCGCCATTTATATCCGGCAGACTGGAAAGAAACTAACAAAAAGCATTAGAGAATATTTCCTTGGGTCAGGCCATACATCTCATTTCAAGAACCATTTTGGAAATTGTTCGTTCCCACATGAACATAGTACTGTAAAACTCATACTTTACAGTATTGGGGTTTAAAACAAATTTGCTTACACTGGAGTTAAAATAGTTAATAACTTCAGTTATTTACCACTCAGTAACATTTTTCAATTTATTAAAAAATTGCTTTGAAAAAGTCAATAAGATTTGATTTCATTTACCTCCACCCTTTTTGAAGGTGATCTATGTTGTAACAAAACTTGTTTTGTTTTTTTTATGATGATTTATAATAAAAATTTGTGTAGTTTGGATTGAAACGTATAGCATATTTTCCTTCCCTGTGCCATTTGAAAATGCTGTCTTGCAGAATACCTGTATCACCGGTGACTTGTATTTTGTTTGGTGGTGAAGTGTTCTGTATTTAATGTTATTTCTGGGGATCAATCGATGTAGGTGTTCCTTCAACCTAAATACAAATAACTAGATATTTAAATATTGCGTTATAGGGTCACTCTAAAATTTTCTAGGTATTGGGATTCTAAAATAATTAATTAGTATCTTTATTAAAATATCTTTCTTACTCTTTGCCAATATCTTAATGTAATTTTTCTTTTTCTTTTTTTTGTGTATACCATTTTTGAAGTATTGATTTTAATGGTATATATTTTTTTTTTCAGTGTTATGATGCTGTTTCAGAGAAACTAGAGGTAATGTAATTAATATCTCATCACTTAGTTAGTAGTAAACCATAGTTAACATTTTATTTTATATTTGTACTAAATTTTTTTTTTGTATAAATTAGTGTTTTTAAAAAATTATTTTTTTGAGCATCTTTTTTTTTTAAATCAAATTTTTAACTATGGCAATCATGCGATTTTAGGTAGTAAAACATGCAAGTTACAATAATAAGTTTAAAATGTTCAATTTTATGAAAATAAAATTTGAATGTACTAACCAGTATGTCGAGGTTTATGAAAATATCTTATTCTTAATCAATTTTAAACCAGCTGAAAAAAATGTTCAATTGCACGAGAAATCATTTCATAAGAAAGGTCAGATTGTTGCTGGTGCCGGAAAAAATAAAACTTACAAATGAGCCTGTATTAAGATCATAAATTTTTTATATTGTTATTTAATTAGATGTCGGATGTGAATTAAATGAAGAGTTAGTCCAAAACTCAATCAATTTCAAATCCGAAATTCATAAAAATTAAATAATAATGGATGTAAATTTTGATAAATTAGACGCGCATTTAAAATTTTAAAATTCCCTAAAGTGTTAGAGCAAACATTGCTGCAAGAATAATATGAATATTATAATCAATCGTAAGACTATAGATGAGAGATTTGAAAAATATGAAAATAAATTTGACAAAAAAAATTTAAATTTATTAAAGTTTTTTAAAATTAATAAGAAAAATTAAAAAATCTGGTGCGCGCAACACACAACTTTCACTTACCACTCTACTTTGAATAGAAATTACTTTCTGGCAATGTTGGGCTATTTTAAAATGTTTTGAAGTGCATTTTAAACAGAGATAAACCTTAAATCTTACAGATAACAAGTCATTAAGAACATTATAATTACAAAATGTCTATTTAATATATCGACAGTAGGCAATAAAAATTTAATCACTCCATCTGCTTTTACAAACCACACAAGTTTCTTTGCTTTTATAAACCACAGAATGCCTAACTCCAATTTCAACCTTTTTTAACAATGTCCTTTTAGTGATATTTTTAGTTGAAAAGTTATCTATGCAGACAGTGATTAAGTTGATAAAACAAAAGATATAAGCTATGAAGCAGAACGTATTAAAAAAAAAAAAGCTAGAGACAATATCTTTCCTCCTAATTGTCCGATTTTAACGATTCTTTTTTTGTTTTTTTAGGAAATTCCGTAAACTTTTGAAAAACCATATACAATATCAACAAAAAAGTGTATACTTTTTGGGTTATTCAGAATTTAATTTTGCCATCCCTCGTAACTTTTTTTCCAGCTTCTTTTCGTTGAAGTATGTTATATAGATAAATTTAAAGGGTGTCGAGAAAATGACTTTAGCGAAGTTTCATTGAAATCGGTACATCCGTTTAGGCTTTGCAGTCTATAGCAACGCAGGTTTTTCTGAATTTTTATTTTTTTCTGCTTTATTAACTTATCAAATTCTTTCAAAAGTTATATTTAGCATTTTTTCGTAACTCTGAATAATTTGAAATGATTAACTTTTTAATATAAACCATATTAAAGGTACTTTAGAGGAAGAGTTATATGAACATTGGGCATTTAAGCCCTGTAAAGTGACATTAATGAGGATAAAACCTAATTGGTATTAAAGATTACTTCATTATACATTGATACACCGAGTTAAATCAAAATTGTTTTTGAGTTTAATCGAGCCGTTTTTGAGAAAATTATAAAAATGTGTTTCAGCGTTGATATAAAGTGGCACTTCCGGTTAGCCGATTTTGAGGAAAAAGTTTCTGTCACATCCAAGGCGCATACCTATCTTAAATACGTAATATCAGTTTCGTACGACTTTTCGTTTTTGAGCTAGACTGCTAACATACACAGACACACAGACCATTTTTTGGGACTTGATTATTTCGACTCAGGGTACCTCAAAATGTGTATTTCCGTTGAAAACTCAGATTCAAAAATTTTCTCGATCGCAATACTTACCCTTACTATATATTACATATATATGTAAGTGAAAGTAAAAACAATGAAAGGTCTATATGAGTAAGTGATGAAAGAAAAGCCTAAAACACTAGTCTCTACTAACATACCCTGAAGCAAAAAAAACAGTGAAAAATACATTAAAATGAAAACTTTTTGCAAAATAGGATTTTTTATAAAATCTTAAAGTAAAAAAAAAAATTAAACTTTATTATTAAGTTTATATTATAGTAAATTATGTATCAAAATCAAATTAATTATTACTCACCCACATTTTACCAAAATTAAATCAATCTGCCCTTTTAAATATGAAGTTTCTGCATTAAAAACTTATTGTATATTTTTGCTATACACTTTTTTTCTATTATAGTATATTTATCAAATAAATTATTTGTATGCATAATATTTTTTTTATTTAATTTGAAGCCTTAGAAATTAAAACATTTTTAATTTTAAGTATTATTCAAATATAATTTTAAAAACTTATAAACAGATCAAATCATATTATATATATGTATACATACATACATACACCCAATAGTGATGTATAATTTGGCTAGTGTATGATATATACCATAGGTGGAGAACTTTTTTATCATTATAGGCCGCAATAAGGTTTATTTTACATATATTTAACTTATTCTATTAATTTTTAAATGTTCATAACCTAAATAATTTGGTAATATTAATTAATTCTAGGACTAGATTAATAAATATTGTGCGAAACCGTTTGGAGACCTAGCTCATAGAGGCTGCAAATCCCCAACCTATGGTATATATAGACTGAATAATTGCTATAAGGATAATTTACTTGTTAATAAAGGAGTTTTAAGTTGATCAGATTATGGTAATTTGTAGATTAGAATTCTTGGATTCAATGTCCTAAATTTTTCTTTCTTTTTTTTTTTTCAGCGTTACAAAAAGAAAAGTCCTAAGAAAAAGGTATTAATAAGATACTTAATAATAAGATAATTAATAAGATACTAATTAATATATTAATAAGATTATTACTTTTGTCGGTTTTCTCTATGATTTTTTTTTTCTGATCTGCAGAAAATGGGAGAAGATTCTTATCCAGTAATAACTAAGGTAAATTAGACTTCATTGTTACTTCATCTAGCTGAATTGTGGTTCTATTTTCAGGTTTCAAAATAGTTTAATTATGTTGTCCTATAGAATTTTTTTTCTATCTATTTGTAAAAGCTATTTTACCTTGTTTAATAGTTTCATAAAAGCAGTAATTTTAAACATATCTGTTAAAAGAGAAAATTATTTTTTCATTAATATGTATAGTTGCTTTTTATTTATTTTTTTCTTAGATGTCATTGGTTCATGTAGTTTCATAATTTGTATTTAAAATCAACTTATCCTGTAATAAATGTATGGTACTGAGCTTCAAAACTGTTGTAAAAGAAAAAAATAAGCTGGGTACTGATTTTATTGAGTTTTAGGTACGGGGATTTGCATTGTATTTTGGATAGGCTGCCCTACATCTGTTAGGCCTCTTCCACAACGGTGCACCACCCTGTGCACCAAGTTTAATCCCCGAGCCTTACCCCATGTATGTCCACATTGGCGCACCACTTCTCATACCTCTCCTAGTATTGACAGTTTATTTTGCGTTTAATACAGTTTTCATGCAAATAAAGCATCCTTTATTTTACATACTTGAAGAATATTATACCCCTTTTTTAGTCAACAAAGAAACTTTATATACTAAATAAAAATAAAATGAAAACATACAAAAGATAAAAATTTTATATTGAAAATATTTCACCACGTAAACACAAGAAATTAGATGAATTTTAGGATAGTATGTATCTGAGCTGGAAATTATATCTAACTAGATTTACCACAAAGATTTGAAGTCTTTTTCCTACTAAATTTATTTTTTTTTAATTGTTCTTAATTAATTTCTCTTTTACGCTAGATCAGTGTAGAGGATCCTATTTAATTAAAGAGCCTCATCCATTTATCTTCTTGCACCAGCTGACTGTGTCTATTTCTCATTTGAGTTCATTCCTCTTATATCGAAATCCTCTCTGACTGAACTTTGCCAAGTCTTTTTGGGCCTTCCTCTTGCCATTCTTCCTTCCTCTTACTTCATATATGGTTTTGGGAGTTCTTCCCTCCTGCATTCTTTTGACATGGCCAAACCACCATTGCCTGTTTTCTTCTATTGTATTTTCTGCTAGTTTTATTCCCAAATTGCTTCTTATTGTTGTATTCCTGATTTTGTCCCTCCTAGTTTTTTCCTCTATTTTTCTCATAAGCTGCATTTCCATTGCTTTAATTTGGCTTTTGTGCTTTAGGGTTATAGTTCAGGATTCGCTGCCATATTTCAGTATAGGAACAAATCTATTTTTATACATAGTTTTCTTAACTTTTTTTACACCTCTCTTTGCTTCACTAAGAAAATTTCTGCCCATTCTTATTCTTTCCCTGATTTTGCCATCTATCCAGCCATTCTCATTCAGATGCGCTCTCAGATACTTTGATGTGCTCGAGTTCTTCTCCCTTCAATCGAAGTACTTGGTGCCCCTCCCCCTCTTCTCTCCCTATCCTCATTATTTTTGTTTTATTGCTGTTTATTTCCATGTCAAACATTTCTGGTTCGTCCTGTAGGACTCTGAGGTTGTATTGGAGGTTTCTTTCTTTGTTCTCTAATACCACTATATCATTGGCATATGCTAGAAGGGTGAAATGAACTGGTTTTAGCTCTCTGTGTAGAGATGGGCAAAAAGTATTCAGAGTAAAAAGTACAAATTACAAAGAATTTTACTCAAATACTCGCGCAGTTCGAGTACTGAATACTTTAATCACTACTTGACCCAATGATTGATGAGTACAAAAAGTACTCAGCTGTCCTCCTGAATACTTTCTATTTTCAGATTTACTCAGAATTATTTTACTCTGAGTACTTTTTAAAGTAATCCAGTACGTCATTCTACAAATTACAGGAGTAAAATATTTAATATTTATGTTCATTGTTATCATATGGAGGATATAGTTTTTTAAAATAGTATCGATATTAATGTAAATCAATAAAATATCGACTAATTAAAATATTTTGGATTTAATCCATATTGAGATCCATTATCCATTATCGCTACACTTCTTGACTTAGACTTACATTATTATGTTTTGGGAGGGCGCTTACTATGAAAATACTGTCGGATTTAAGATTCCGCCACCGGGAATTGACTTTTTGTAATTTTTCGATTTAATCGATATCATGGTTGACTATTATGTTTTGCTTTTTATGAAAGTACTGTTGGATTTGAGACAGCGGAACCACGCATCAACTTTTTGTAACTTTGCGGATTAAATCAATATTAGGATCGACTATTATATTTTCAGGGGCACTTTTTATGAAAATACTGTCTGATTTAAGATTAGAGATAGCCAAAAACACAATGAGTAAAAATTACAGAGTATTTTACTCAAATACTAGCACAGCGCGGGTATTGAGTATCTATACTCAACCTGATAATTGACGAGTACAAAAAGTAATCAGCAGTCCTCAAGAATACTATGGATTTTCAAATTTACTCAGAATTTTTCTTTTCAAAATAATCGAATACATTATTTAACAAATTGCAGGCATAAAATATTTTATATTTCTATTTATAGGCGCTATCTCAAATCCAACATTATTTTCATAAATAACACCCCCAAAACATAAAAGTCGACCCTGTTATCGATTAAATATGAAATGTTATAAAAAATCGATGCCCTGGGGCGGTATCTCAAATCTGACTGAATTTTCATAAAAAGCGGCCCCCAAAACATTATAGTCAATCTGATATAGATTAATGGATGGTTAGAGGTGGAAGGAATTATAAGAAAAAATCTGTACTCTTCATAATAATGATGGAGTAGTAATAAAAAGTACTCAGGGGTATTTGGCTGAATACGATGTAACACTGCCAGTAGTTTCTGTACTTAACTAACTGATAATTAACGTTAAGGATGATGTCAGGCCAAGTACAGAAAGTACTCGATATTTCTTCCTAATAAAAATACTCAAATTATGAAAGTTATCGAGTACTGCACATCTCTATCTGTGGCCCGACCTAAAAGGTCTCTTTCTCTTCTTAGCACTTAGTGCCATGTTGAGCACTATGATAAACAATAAAGAGCTAAGATTACAGCCCTGTTTTATTCCTTTGCTGCTCTGAAGCTATATGTATGGTTTTTGGTTCTAACCAGGTTTATTCTCTTTTTATATTAAAATATTTCCTGCTCTTTTGTTCTCCTATTCTTCAGCATTTCGGGGATGATACCGCCTATTTCTGGTACTTTGCCCATTTTCAGACTGTCATTTGCATCTGTGATTTCCTCCTTTCTTATGAAATCTTCTTTATCCTCATTTTAAGTGACATCTCATGACATAAATTTTTTGTTCTGGCATTAAAAGTATTTGTTTTATTGCTTTTCATCTTTCCTCTGCATCATCAGTCCCATGGATATTCGCTGCTAGTTGCTTTTACTTTTATTGCAGACCTATATGCTTCTTCTAGGTCTTGACTTTCCTTTCTTTATGTTTGAATCCTCCAAAATCATATCAATTGTTAGCAGCATATGGTCTATCCCTAGCTCATATCCTCTCTTGACTCTGATGTCTTTTGTTTTCCTTACTTCCTCTTTTGAGATCAAGAAGTAATCTGTTAGATTTTTTGTTTATGGAAGATTCTGCTCTTGTTTTTTATTCAGAATTTAAATTATTGTCACAACATGCCCTAATTAAATTATTATATTTAATAATAATCAAAATTAAATTACTATTAGGTTGATATATTGCCGTAGTATCAAAATACATTCTTGGAATTTTCAAATAAACTTTTTGACGATATAATGTATGTTTTGTTTTGTGGTAGCTGTAAAAAAAATAAGACAAATAAAACCTATGAAATAATGAAAATAATAAAATTTGCACTTACTGCATTTGTGAATTTAAGCATTGATGTATTTTATCATTGAATTCTTTTAAAATAAAGTTTTTTTTTATTAACTGTTAGATTAAATAAGTTTCTTAATTAAAGTTCAATTTATGTAGTTTTTAAAACTATGTTGTAAATAATTAATTTTTTACCATTAATATTTTATTCATTTCATAAGAAATGCAATATATATTAATATATTGATAAAAAAAACATTAACAGTATTGATATAAAATATTACCAGTAGTAATATAAAATATTAATAGTATTAAAACAAAATATTAACTCTTCTTATATTATTTAATGTTCATTTTCCATACCTTATACCTAAAATATTAATAGTATTAAAATAAAATATTAACAGTATGAATATAAAATATTAGCATTACTAATATGAAGTATTAACATTATTAATGATGATAATATCAATATAAATAATAAATTAATAAACAATAAATTGGTTGTGAAATGAGAAAATACAAATACATTTCTATAAACTCAGTCGCTCCGAGGGCAAGAAGCATGAGGATCGAGGCTAAAAGAATTTACGAGGCAATTCCCTTCTTGGTGCGATGGTCGGTGCGCCGTCCACTCTCATAGGAAATAATGAGTTCATTTTTACGCTAGGGGGGGAGAAGGTCAGTGCACCCTTGTGGGCAAGCCCTCAGGCTCAACTACTTTTTTGGCCTGTTATAGATTCAAGACCAACTTGAATAATGAGTTGACAATGACCCAATGTGCATTCAGTACGATATAAATTGTCTTTTCCAAAATAATCGTAGATTTATATTTAATCCTACTGAACATAGTTATTTGAGACCTGTGCATAATTATTTTGAGACCAAAAAATGTATTGCCAGTTCCCATTTAGCCTCAGAGTAAAGGAACTAAGTAGTTGAGGGTTCATTTTATTTATTAACCATCTTAACTCAATTACAGTTTAGTCCAAGATTAATAGTTATCGCTGATTAGGCTTAGTCTTGGCCCTTAACCCTTTAAAGAAGCTAGGTGTGCTGAAGGTCTCTCTAACCTAACCCAAGGTCGATTCATACTAATAAATTATTATTTCCCATAACCGCACTCAGATCTGGTTCTAGAAGTTGTCATCACTGCCACTGGCCGACGCCACTGAGATGCTTCCACTCCTGGAGAATTTATTTTTAGTTACAAAATTTAATTTTTTTATTTCAAGGTTTGGTCTGAGGTTCCAGTTGTTCAAATAGAATTACCTGATTCAGATACTGAAGACTCTTCCTGTAACAATAAAAAAAACAAGGTATTGTATTTATAGCCTTAAAATAGAATGTATTTTCTTATTTTGCGTGAATTTAAATTGGTGATTATATTTTTAACAGGTGGTTGAAGATGATAGCATTGTTATATCAGATTCAGAAGAACATCTACCTCTTAGTAACATAAAAAACCGTCCAAATGAGGTATAGTAAATTTTTATTTGACATTTTATTTCATCTTACTGAATCTTAGTTACATTTCTATCTTATTTTTAAAGAAATGGCAAAAGCTGAATGTTATATCGTCGGTTTACTGCAAAAAGTCATTAAATGACATTTTATAATCTTAAATAATTAAGAACTTTTAAGAATTTTCCCTTAATGAAATCACAATATTGTTCACTTGCTGTAACTATATTTGATATTTAAAAAGATTTTTGTCATTTTCATGAACTTACAATGACTTTATATTGACAAATAAAGTCGAAATTCGCAAAATTATATTTGAAAGTTAATCTATATTACAAATGTTCTTAGTGACTATTTGCAATAAACCGACAATATTTTTTCTGAATCGTTAATGGCCTATTGGTTATACAAATTTGTCTTGTATAATCATCAATATATTGGTCATTCTTCCATTTGCTGGAGATAAAAAATTTAAATATCATGAAAAAAATTGGAGCGTGAAGATAATTTTTTCATTATTCAATTCATGATAAGACAAAAAGTTCCTTCATAAGAATTTCTTGCTTCAATGGTTTATAGTAGTCAGGCTCTTGTTTCCTCCAGTTAATTAATCCTGTCTAGTTGAGTTCTCTCGTTAATGGTTAATGCCCAGTGAATATTTGGCCACACTTTAACGGTAGTATCAACAAGTATTGAGATCAATGAAACTATACCTCTGATATAAATTTTAAATTAAAAATGAACCCCAATCTTCCCTTTAAATAACCATTACTCAATTCCATAACATTTCAGAGGTTTAAAAAATTTTAACTTAATTTTTTTTTTAATGCTGTCACAGTTGATTCTCTTTGAAAACTCAATATTTCAACAATAATAGTTAGTAGTTGTCCCATGTGAATAATACGCAAAGAATATTGGTCAGTGAATAATTAAAAGGTAATAAAGTAATTCAACAAATCATAAAATAAAGGAATCATTTTCTATTTTTTCAGTAATCGACTCATGAAAAAAAAAATTAAAACTTCCTTCATGTTTGAAAAAAAAAATTTATGAATTGCAATAGCCTGTATCTCAGTTAATAATGGTCCTAATTAGATGATTTTTAATTTTCTTTTGTAGGAACTTTAGTAATCATTCAAATAATAATTAATCATGGGTGCAATCAACAATAAAAATTATACTTTTTGCGTTATTCACAATATAATAATCTTTTTATTGAAAGAAAAATAATACAATCTGCCACAATCAAGGGCATTGGGCATTAAGACTCTGTGTACATTCATACTATTATATACAAATTGAGAAAAAATAAATAAAAAGAAAACATCTAAGTAAAAAATATTTACAATAAAATAATAACAAAAATATAAGATACTTGTAAAAAAGAAAAAAATACATTAAAAGGATGATAAAAAGAAAAAAATACATTAAAAGGATGATAAAAAGAAAAAAATACATTAAAAGGATGATAAAAAGAAAAAAAAAATACTTGTCACACTCATTCCTATATGCAATAGTTACATTCCGCCGAGGGAACTCAGACCATGCTTTGCCGCTCTCATGTGAGAGGCAAATCAGGATTCAAAGAGATCCCAGCACTTCTCTCCCAGTCGCATCACCGTTTAAAAGTCAGTGGAGGCTGAGTGAGAACGCTAAAGTCACATACACTCAGGACTTGAATGGAGAAGCTGGTCACTACTAGAACTCCAATAACATATTTACAAAAGGTCTCGGGGCCATTGCCGTTTCAACCTTTGTGGGTGATTATATGGATGGTTGGAGCTGGAGAGGGATTAGGATGATGGAAAAGTTTTGTATGGAAGTTTGAGAATCTGGATGGAATTAGGTCAAGGACAAATGGGATGTTGATATCATGATGTAGGGTTTTATTTGTGACGTAGTATGGAACATTGACTATTATTCTAAGGACTTTGGATTGAAAGGATTGGATGCGTTTGATGTTCGAAGATTTAGCTGTCCTCCACAGTTCGAGTCCATAGGTCCAGATGGGTCTTAAATATGGTCTTGTATATTAGTAGTTTGTTTTCAATTGAAAGGTGTGAGTTAGTTATTCACAATAAAATTTCTTTTTCTTCATAACTTTTTTCTTTAAGCTTCTGGAGGATGTGACTATTTTCCCTTCTGAAGAAGATCTTCAAAATAGGGGTTCAATTATTGGATTCGATGAAGAATTGGCAATATAGCATACCAACAAAAAAAAAACCTATGAGAAATAATATATAAAGATAATGATGATTCTTTTGAGATTGCAATAGTAGAACCAAATCATTAATGAAGGAAAGAAATATAAAAATAAATAATATTACAAGCAAAAACAAAAATACCCACAATTTCTTTGAGAACTAGCTGATATATCAAAACAAGTTGGATAATAACCAAATTAAATGATTAAGTGAAATAGCTGTTCATTTATAGAAAGACAATTTAAAAAAATGAAAGGCTAGGAACAATAAATGGTCAATCAAAGATAATTAATTGAAAAATCTCTCAACTGAACCAGTGAGTTTAGCAGCTACAACTTAACAACTCTCAACCAGCAAATTTTACTCATCTTGTAATTAACTAAAAAGAAAAAATAGACATTTGTTGTATATTATATAATAGAATAAACAAGAACGGGTTTATAAGATATTGAGGAAAAGAGAGTAGAGGAATAAGCTGTTGGTTGAATCCTCAAAATCATCTCTTAAAAGTGTGGTTAAGAAGATAATGAAGAATGAGACTAAGAAACATATTGCTCAGAGGGTACTATTAGGAGAAACGGGGTGTGCTTCTATGGAGGAATGTTATAAGTCAGTGAAGAAAATAGACAAAAGTCATTTTCTTCAGAAATATCTAAAAATGCTGGGTTTCCGAGGAACTATATGTTAATTAATAAAGTTAATTTTTCTTTCTTTGAGGTTGTTAAGCAGAAAAGTTAATGATGCGACAAACAGTGGATTAGCATATTTTAGAATAAAAAAGGCGTGAGTAGCAGAGCTACATCACTGAGATTCTGTAATAGCTGTTGGCAATCGCTTATTCTAAATAATGTGTTGTAAGGAAATATTATAAAAATTATAAATATCTTTGTTATATTCTTTATTTTTTATTTATTTTTTTTTTTTTATCATCTTAAAGGCTTATAATTTTTTATTCAATTTTATACTCTAGATAGATTTTTAATGATACATCTACATACTTCTATCTCATTATTTTCCTCATATGATGTTTCAGAAGTATTTGTCCATTATTAAACATTCATTGATACGTAATTGCTTAATTACATCACTTTTCTTGTTTTTATAATGTTTTTGGGAAATTTGTATAAATATGAGATGAGGTGTACTTATTAAAAATCTTCCTTGAGTATATGAAATATACATTTAAATAAATTACTAGTAAATGACATTTTAATTTTAATAAAAACTTATGCTTATTACTTAAAGGTACCTAGAAGAAAAAAGATAGAAAGGTGTAGAAGAAGTACAGAGAAAAATAGAAATTGCAAGGTAAACATTTTTAAATGTGTCAATTTAGTTTATGTTGTTTCTTGTCAAAAAAAACTTGTTTATTTTTACTTTTTTCAGCTGACCAGAGTGGTTTAGCAATGATATTTTTTATGAAGTTTACCTAATGGCAAAAAGCCTATTTCACAACCATTGACCGTTATTGTTTAAACCATCCAATTGTTACATATACCAGGATGATAGGAGCACAATTCTAAAACTACTGTTTTTATACAAAACTTTTACATTTTATTAATATTCCATCTGTATCGACAGCTTTTTTAAGATTTTATTTTGTATTTTTGAGCCTTATTAACTCTAGTTTACCAATATCTAATCCTCTTTAGTTTTTTCAATAACATAATACACAATTTAAATTTTTCTGATGTTTTTGAAGTTGTGCCCCTTTGCAGTTTTGTTTATTTTCTTATTTTTTCAAGTTGAGTCTATTATCACTTCCTTCACTAAAGTTATGGTAAAACTAAAAAAAAAACTGCACTAAAGAATGAAATTTGTAAAAGGAATATAGGTAAAAAAGCTACAATGCCGACGAATAACAGATAGTGAGAGACATAGAATTGATTTCATTAATTGGGAAATTTAACATGAGACGAAAAAAAAAACTCTAGTTTCATCTTTTGAAACCAATGAATCTTTGTAATCACAAGAAGCTCAGAAATGAATAGTTCTACACTTTAGCAGGTTACCTAGAACTTATCATGCATTCTTGAATCAAATCATGTCTATATGAAGTTGAGTACGTTAAAAACGAAACTTTCATAGACTAATACTTCGGCGCATGCAGTGGGTGACAAAAAAGTAAATAACCTGTGTGATAAAATACTCGCTTTTCAATCAAATGTTTTACAAATTTTCATTTGAAGTATTGTTTCTCTACATTTTGGAAACTGACTTTGACTTTCTGCCATGATTTCATCATTATTAACAAAGTTATGGGTATTACTACAGTAAATTTGGTTGTTTTTATGTCACTAATATTTGTTTTTCAAAATAACTAAAAATCTATAAGTTAGAAGTTATGGTTCTAAAAGATTATATGGCAGAAATACGATAAAAAAATTACATAGCGCATTACACCTTTGACTTAGGCTTAAAAAAAAAATTAAGCTGAAAATATTATGCTCATCGAAAAAAAATTATGCGGTTTTTATGTATCATGAAAATTTTTAGTTTTTATTCTTATAGGCTTTTGCAGTGTAGCTGTTGATATTGTCTTTCATTAAAATAATTATATAACAATTTATTGTAATTCTCCTTATACTTTATTGTGCAAGTTGATTACATCACATTTTAACAATTTTTTAAAATTAAAAAATAATTTATTAACATAAATATGAAAGTATTACACTCATTAGTTAGTTTTTCAAAAACAACTTATGTAGTGTGCAAAAATTCAACCATTTTTTTTTATTAAATGGATATTAACACAATCTGCCACACTTAAGGGCAATAAACGTTAGAGAAAAAATTATCCATTCATACATCAATCATATTAACTTCAAAACTGCAACTTTGTCTCACATGGCCCTATAAAAGGAGGAATAAGGTTTTCTCAGAAATTCAACAAATTTTATCTTTTGTTTTGTGGAATCCCGCAAGGTTTTTATTATGTTTTTTTTGGGGAATGTAAATTATTGTTAATGATTACAGCATTTTATTTTTCTGGGTTTAGAGTTTTATAGGAATAAAAAGTCTTATATTGGAAGTTTTTTTCATAACTTCTGATTTTTATTTCAGCGAAGTTGACTTTTTCACCTTTTGTGCTCTAGATTTCCCATTCTAGAAGTTAAATATATGAAATTAAGCACAACACACACACAAAAGCACTTTAGCACTTTCATGCTATGCTGGTACATAAATTGGATTAGATTTCAAGGATCTTTGAATTTGTTGTTAGATAATTGAGTTTTAATATTTTGTTGTTACTAGTTTTCCTGAACACCATCTATTTATTATCTGAGCTTTGTTGTAATTAGAAAAAAAAAGCCCGCAGCTATTAGTTCAGATTACTGATGTTGCATGATAATTGCAATACATTTTTCCTTTATATAAATTAAGAAAGCGAATTATCAAATTTAAAAGAAAAACTAAAACAAGAAATTAAATTTGATGTTATGGACTATTAATTATAGATTGGATTTTGAATTGTACCCATTCCATTCCAAAAAAATACCCTCAACAAAAGTCTAGAATAACAGGCACTTGTAGCATTCTAGCAGCAATTGGTAACACTAGAAGCAGGCACTTAAGCTACAATGTTCAAACTGATTACTAGAATCCTACAATGCTGCTAACCCAAAAATGACATTCATTTGGTTGTCCCCTTTTAATTCTGGTGTGTGATATAATTTTTTTTTTTACTAGTAATTAAGCTAGTTTTTTTTTAATTATGGTTCAGCTTTTTTATGTTTATGATTTTGGTTTACAGCTAAACGGTGAGCAAGAGATACCATTTATTAACAGTGCTATAACAATCACTAAAGTTATTCCAGACCTAGAGGTATTTATTTCTGTCTGTATTTTTAAAAATATTATGTTGAGTTTAATTTTTATAGAATAGTGAATAATAATAAAATTATTTTATTTTCAGAAAAATAATAGAAGTGCACTTCTGAATGGAAGTCGGAACTCACTATTGGTAATTAATTTAACGAATATAATATCATGGCATTCAATAGTTTTATTTATATCTTATTTAATATTGTTCATAGGTGGGTGATGACAGTCAAATAGTTATTTCAGACTCGGAAGATACAGAGATCCAAGAAATTCCTCATAGAAAGGTTATTATTTAATATTAATTTTCATTTCATCTTTTAAAAAATCACGACTATTCTCAATTTTTAATCTCTTTGCTATTTAGTCATAAATACTTGTTAAATTTATTTGTTACTTCTATACAACATCAGTTTATTACAAAAAGTGACTAAGTACGTTTTTGACAGAGATGAACTTTTAGATTCATTTTCGTAATTTTTGGCCATATTTATTGATCAAAAAACACCTTAATTAAGTGTTGCAGACATACCCTTTAATATATGAAAAATAGTTGCATTGATAGGACTCTTTTTATTTTATATAGGAAAAGTCAATTAAAATACTTAGTGATTTATTGAATACTTGATGGTTGACCGTGGTGTATTATTGAATTACAAGATGGTCCGGAGTGGCAGTCATAAAAAAACTAAAATACAAAAAAACTATTTTATTTAAAGCCAACATTTTGATCCGACTTTGCAGGTCTTCTTCAAAGCTAAAACGAACAAGATGCAAAAGGCTTTAGAACAATGTGGAAGTTACATAATGTTTAGATAGGAAATTATAAACAGTGTGAATATTTGAATGGACAGCTCGAAATGTAGAATACACATTGGTTCTGATGCCTCTGAAGAGTTTAAAGTGGGGTTCGACAGGGGGATGCTCTCGCCTGCCTATTATTCAACTTGGTAGAGGAGAAAGCTGTAAGAGAGGCCGGTATTCAGATCAGCAACATAATCTTCAATCGCCTCACACAGCTTCTTGGTTTTGCTGATGATATTGATATAATAGGAAGGTCTAAAAGAGCTTTCAGAGAAGTATTTACAGCCCTTGAAGCAGCTGCAAGACGACTTGGTCTTGAAGTCAACGAGAAGAAAACAGTATATGAGAGTTGGTGGTGAGGTAGATTGGAACTCACCATTTGAGGTAGGTTCTTTTAAGTTTGAAAAAGTAAAAATCCACCTCGGGTCTGAATTATTATTTATTATTTAATGGCGCTACAACCCACAAGGAGTCAGGGCCTCCTCTAATGATTTCCACCAGTCCTGTCTTCTTCGTGCCGCTGCTCTCCAGTTTCTCGTTCCAAACAAATCTAATCAGTCGTTCCTTTACTCTTCATAAAATCTGCTTGATACTTTCCTATTTCTCTCTCGGCAAAAGATAGGTGCCTAAGGAATAGTATTCATGAGAGTATTTTGTAGGGGTATGACAAAAGAGAAATCCCTCTGTAGGTCCCACATTCAAGAACATTGGCCTTTTTGTGTATTGGACAGAAGTAACTAGTGAAAATGACATGGCTCAAGAAATACAGAGAAGGATCATGGCTGCCAATAGATGTGTCTTTGGACCTGGCCGACACTTTAGAAGTAGGTATTTCTCAAAGAAGACCAAGCTGATTATATATAAGACCCTTGTGCTGCCTGTTTTGACATATGGCTCAGAGGCTTGGACGATGACGTAAAGTGATGAGATGAAGCTGAGTGTGTTCAAGCGAGAAGCCCTCAGAAGGATCTATGTTCCAGTAAAGGAGGATTATGTCTGGAGGAAAAGAACAAATAGGGAGCTCAGTTCTCTTCATACAGACATTGACGTAGTCACTTACATTAAACTTGCCAAACTAAGATAGGCAGGGCATGTGGCCAGAATGACCGCCTTTGAAACCCAAAAAAGTTATGATGGAGGAGCTGCACCTCGCAAGACGAGTAGGAAGGCCGAGGACAGCGTGGCCTATAGTGCAAGAACCCTGCTTGGCATACGGAACTGGAGAGCTGCAACAGGAGACACGAGCCAACTGGATGAGGCTCTGGGAGGAAGCCCAGTCTCGGTAACGGGATGTTGCGCTACATATGTATGTATGTAACAGTCTGAATAGCAAGTACATAGAAATATCAAGAACAATAAACTATATAGACAGAGTAAACAAACTTTCAACTAAGTAACAACACCCTAAACTGACATAAATAAATGGTAACAATTATTATAGACTAGTAGGCCCATGCGAAAAATTCGCATAGTATATTGTTAAGTGATTAAATGCCAAATTAGTAAGTAAAGAAAATAATGCAACATATCATATGATAAGAAAATCAAGTATTACTTTCTCAATAAATATAATTGAAAAAGAAAACAAAGATTAAGTTAAATCTTCGTTAATGTTTGGAACCAACATGTTGACAAATTTCAATAAGCTGTATCTTTGCTAAAAATTGTTCTGGTTTGATGATTTTTTTTTTCTTTTTTTAGTGAATTTAATAATCTTTTACATAATCATGGACTTTTGTATAGAGCAAAATGTTTGTATCTACTTTATTTATTTTAGAAAGAAAAACAAAAGCGGAGAGTATGATTCACTAACTCCTCGTGAAATGCTGAATCTAACGGCACCCCAATTAAGTATTTGAGATTGTATTTGGTACAAAACCGATTTTGAGCCTTATTATAATAAATAATGTATGTGGGGATTATTAGAAATAGGAAAAAATTGAATGTAGTAAGGAGGAGGGATAATATACGCAATAATGGATATAATCCTACAGGTCACAAGAAAAGATTGAAATACAAAGGAACAATAAGAAATAATCTAGTGTGGTGTTTCGGTTGAAACTGGGGCAACAGGCGGTGTGGGGGAGGAGGAGGAAGGGGGACACATGGGAAAAATATTCATCCCATCCGATATCCAATGTCTATCCACCAACCAGGTCAACTATTTTTCCCCTCCTAATGTTTCACCAGTTTCAACCGAAATTCCATACTACATACATTCGTAAGTCTCTATTTTTATTTATTTATTTCACACTGACTTTATGTCAATTTTTACTTTTTTTTTTCAATCTTTCCTTGAGATTTGTTGGATTATATCCATTATTGTGTGCATATATATTATCCATCCCCCTTATTACATTCAGTTCTTCCCTATTTCTAATAGTCTACAGTAATTATTACCATTTATTTACTTCAGTTTAGGATCTTGTTACTTATTTATACTTTGTTTACTCTGTTTATATAGTTTATTGCTCTTAATATTTCTATGTACCTGCTATTCACACTGTTATATTTTTAATAAGTTTATTCACATTATTTATATTTTTATCTAAACATTATTTAACTTTCACATTGTTCTATAGCCTTTTGTATCTTGTTCATTCTAGCCCTGAAGAAGACCGGCAATGTCAGGTCGAAACGTTGGCGTTAAAAAAATTAGTTTTTTTCTATTTTAGTCTTTTTATTACTGCCACCCCAGATCATCTTGCTCACTTAGTGATTTAATTTTGAGAAGTGTTACCTAACACGTTCACACCAGCAGTGGAATTTATGTTTCTCTCCTATCGGCAGCTACACTTAAAGGTCTTCAGTCTATCGGATGGGCCCGAACTAATGTGTATGCTATTACTTTCACTTACCTATATATGCAATATGTAGTAAGGGTAAGTATTGCAATCGTGAAAATTTTCTTATGATGAGAAAAATGCTTTCATAAGATTCTACTTTGATCTTTGTTTATGAGTTACGTGATGATGATCTTTATATTCCTATTTACTAAGCAAAAATTTATATAATTAGTGATATGGTCGATTAAAATAATTATTCGTATGGTTGACAATTCCAAACAGTTCAATGTATCTGCATTTGATTGAAATAAGAACTTAATTTTTTTAATTATTCATTATTAATCAAAACTTTTTTAGGTTTCTGATAGATTGGTCGAAGAAATAGTGATCTCAGATTCAGAAGATGCTGTAGATTTAGAGAATAAGGTATGTATTATTGTGTTCAGAAAGATATGTATGAACTAATGATTTTGTATCTCAATTTCTAAATTTAGATAACAATTTTTTTATGGTCAATTAATTAGGACTGGTATCTATTACCTCAATGTTGGTTACTTGGCACTAGTTGTTGGACTTTTTGTGATAATCTGCACTTAAAACAGTCAGAAAAGTTTGAAATTTATACATTAGCATCCTTCGAGAATAAATAGAACAAAAAGCCATTCATTTACACTGTGTTTTATTAATTTTGGGGAAAATTAATTATTTATTTATTATATAAAAAATTCATTATTATTAAATTCTGAGTATAAAAAAATGATGCTAAAAATGATACGGGACATTGAGCACCTCTTATATGTATATATTTACTGGAGGAAAGCATCCCTTTAGCAACTTTGAGATCACAATCACCTTTGTAATTCCAGAATAAAGAATATAGCTCTTAAAGTTTGAGATATGTTGTCTAACAGAATATAACACGAGAAAAAGAATACCAGACTACTTATTTTTATCTTTCTGTTGAACTTTACATTCACCTATCGGAGGATATGCATCTTTTTCTCTATCAGGGCTTTCATGCCTTAGAGACTACTTCTTTTAGGCAACACACAACATTTAACATCATTAGAGCAATTTTAACCCTTTAAGACCCAAGTAACACTTTGATGGTACTCATAATATTCAAGAGTTGTACAAATGTTTATGAAGATTGGAGATAGTATAGTATTTCTCAGGAAGGAATAATTAGAAATAAGTTTATTAGTTATAAAGCACAATTAAAAATGTATGTATATCTATAGACTTTCTGGTATCTAAAAGAAAATAGAAACAATAAATCCTGTTCACCTTTTTGTTACTTATTATTTGGTTACCCCAAGATGATCAAAATTCATACAACCTTTAGATAGTGTTAGATAACAGGCCACTGAACACATAAATGTTAGCTTCAATTTTAATAGTATTTACCACAGGTGGGAAACTAACTGGGGCCTCCGAGGTTTCTAGAGAGGCCTCTGTGACGTAGCTGCAGGCTCCAAACTTTTTGTGCGATATTTATTAATCTAGAGCTAGAATCAATTACTAGTTAATTATTTAGATTATGAAAATTAATAGAAGAATCAGCACGCCCTCAATCTTACTGCAGCATCTAATGATAAAAAGAAAATTTTTGTCTTTGAAATGTCCTCTTGGTACAGGGTTCTCTTCCAGCTGTGGTAGGTAATTATTTCTTCTGTTACAACAGCCATGAATTGACCCTCGGGTCAGGAGTCTCTGGGGCACACTTTATAAAGCAGGTTCTCTTAATTAATTAATGGGGGAAAACAGGCAGTTAAGTTTTGGTTAAGAAAAGTATTAAATTTTGGTCTAATCATGTCCCTGCACAGTCAGTTTTTAAGTCACCATAAACCTTTTTTATTTCATGAATTTAATTATCATTGATAATTTCCCCTTTTATATAAGATATTATGTTTTCTTACTATTCATATTATGTTTCTGTTTTTCTTTTTTAGAGTAGTTTTTTATACCAACTCGGACTTTGTGAGCCGACAAATCTTCCAGATGATCCTATCATTCTCCCAATACCTGGGAAGGGTGATTTTAACAAATTCCATCGACTACCTCTCACAACGATTCCTCTTCTTGTTAAACACTCATTAATTGACAAACACTCAGTAGAGCCAGGTCCACCAGGTCAGAATTCAAATTTCACCTCAACTAATAAAAGATTTGTCAATGAAAACATCACCAAGTCTAATAAAACAGTAAGTATAATAAATCGCTCATCTTAAGAAGTTTCTTCTTTTTTTCTGTACTTTAGCTTTGTACAAATTATTTTTTAAACATTATTTCAGACATATTAACAGCATGCCTGCAAATCCTTTGTAAGTGGTTCTTACTTCAATTTTCAGGTGACAAAAAAAAAAACTTCAAACCTTCTAAACTTACAGATTAATTACAACTGATCTTAAACGCCTTTCCTATACTCTGTATCAGCCTCTATCTCAGTCTAATCCTTCCTCTCCTTCTTTTACCATTTAATAGTCTTTTCGGGTATCTACTTCACCTATCTTTTCTACATGTCCAAGCCATCTTATACGGCTTGACTTAACAAAAGTGACTATGTCTAGTTCTTTATACAGTTCCTGGAGTTCTCTATTATTTCTTATTTTTCATTGGTCATGTATACATATTGGCCCAAAAATCTGCCGAAGGACCTTCTTTTCCGAGATTTAAAGGTTCTTCTATTATTCCTGTGTTAGGACCCATGTTTCACCTGCATAAAGGACATTTGGTCTTAAGATAGTTTTAGAAACCAGTTTTCCATAATGCAAAAAAACATCTGTTGCCTGCTATGATTCTTGCTTTAATTTCTATTGTGATGTTATTTTTGCTCGTCACTAAGGTTCCAAGATATTTGAAACTGCCAGCTTTCTTAAAAGTGTGGTGGAGCAGTTGCATGCTATCCTGTCTTTTCTGTCTCTCTTTTTTTGAGGATATTATATACTTTTTTTTTTTTTTTTCTTATCTTTGTTTTTACATTTGAAGAAAGAGAAACATTTTAAGTATTGGATTGAATCAATTGGAGTATTTAGTTATAATAACTTATAAAATCACGTACATCATATATCGTGTATAGGAATGCTGTTTTCACTGATATAAGAAGCAGTGTTATGATTTCCTACTTGAAATATTTCTCATGTTATATTAGAGAAATTTTAGAAAATGTTTTAATTTATTATTGTTAATATTCTAAAAGTTACAAGAAGAATAAAAAATCTGGTGCATGCATCACACTTTCACTTCCCAAATTTAGAGTAGATAGGTATTTTCTTATAGGAAGTTGAAGTGAAAACAACAGTATAACTTTATTTAAAACAATTAATTACCATGTTTTTCCTGCCCATCGAATCAGTGAAATTTATACATTTGCATCACTTTAGTGTGTAGTATCAAATTGGAAATGGATCTTTTGGAAAAATTCTGAGTTTTATTAGAAACATTTATCACGAAACTCATTGAAAAAATAACTAAATGTTAGTGAATATTGTAAATTATTCGGTTTATATTAGTAAATTCTCAACATTACGTGTGAAAACTTTTTTAGAACTTATGTAGAAGTGATACATAAATGTTAAACTAAGAATATGAAAGCCCTATACAGAGGGGTATCGGGTACCAGTAATGGGAGAGGATCGGCAAAGGTTGGATACTCTCGACTACCGAGCCAAGCTTCCTACATATTTTATACCGTCTAGCTTCCTACTTTTATTTCACCTTTACTTACCAATCAATTTTTCTTCATTTCATTCTATATTTAACCATTTTTTATGGCAGCTTCAAATGTAAAATGGTTAATTATTTCAAATTAAAAAAATTAAAGGTACTTTAAAGGAAGAAATTTTGAAAAGTCAGCATTTTAGCCCTGTCTTGTAAAAATCACTTTAAATTAAAAGCCACTTAATAATACACTGACCTAGTGAGTTTAATAAAAATCCATTTTTGAGAAAATTGTAAAAATGAGCTAAATTGATAATACAAAGTATCCCTTGTAGATTTTGACAAAAAAGTCACATACATACACAAGACCATTTTGTGGGACTTGGTTATTTGGACTTAGTAGACTGAAAATGTGTATTTTCGTTTAAAATTCAGATTCGAAATTTTTGATGATCGCAATACTTACCCTTACTATATATTTAAGTGAAAGTAATAAAGGAACTTTGTGGAAATCAACATTTTCTCTACAAAAATAAATAGCACACTTTTGGTACCATGTGGCTGTCATATAGTGAAAACAATTTTTAATAAAAAGTGACTTATGAGGTTTTGCAGGTATTTTATATTCAGCTTAAAAACTGTTTTTATTTTTATTAATAGAAAAATGTTAAGATTTAAGTAACTTTATTTATTTAATATAACATTTTTCTGTGAATATTGAGTTAGTTTGTATATGTTATATATATTGTGTTCTATCAACAATAACTAACTACCGAATTATCTTGAAAAATAATTAATGCCTGCCTTCCAATCATTATCCTATAATGTGCCTCACATGTAAAAAGAGTTGGTGACTCAAGTTCTATATTAATAACAGAACTAACTTCATAAAAAAAAAAAACAGTGATCACAAATAGCAGACTTGAATGGGCGGTACATTCATTCTCTCCATTTAAGTCTGTCAACACTGATGGGATCTTTCCGTCACTGCTGCAGAAGGGTCTCTCATAAATAAGGCCATACCTATTGGAATTATTAAGAGGTAGCCTAGCGCTAGGATATCTACCAAATAAATGGAGGATATCCAATGATACATTCCAAAACCTGGAAAGGGATCTTATGAAGATCCCAAGACATTTAGATCAATATGTCTATCATCTTTCTTAATGAAAAAGGCACTTCATAACTTGGTCACAAGAGTAGAAAAATCCTTAGAACAGAGAGAAATCATGAAAGGCATCTTTATAGATATCGAAGGTGCCTTTGATAGAACCTCCTATGACATCATTAATGATGCACTAAAGAATAAAGATGTGGACTCTATGTCCTCAAGATGGATTGGGAGGATGTTGGAGGACAGAGTCCTAATATCAGAACTAGACCATGAGAAACTGGATCGAACCTTGTGGGATGTCCACAGGGAGGTGTGCTCTCCCCTTTACTGTGTTCTTTAGCGGCTGACTCTTTTGTGGAAGCCTTTAACACTGTAGGCATATAAACACAAGGATATGCAGATGAAATTTCTATCCTAATTTGAGGGAAACATCAGAGTGTTCTTTCTGATCTCTTCAAGACAGTAACTGACATTCTGAGGAATTGGTGCAGCACTAATGGGCTGAGCATCAACCCACAGAAAGTCAGCGTTTGCATCTTCACTAAGAAGAAAAAAGTGTTTATTAAAATTCCAGAGATTAATGGTATCCAATTGATGCAGAGCAAGGAAGTAAACACCTTGGAGTCATTACGGACCATAAATTGTCATGGACTTAACAAGTTCAGTATGTTACAAGTAAAGCCCTCAAATGTGTATGGGCTTGCAAAAGAGCAATAGGAAAGAATTGGGGGCTCAAACCTAAAATGGTATTCTGGCTGTATGTAATGGCAGTCAGACCCATCATATCATACTCAAGTTTGCTATGGTGGCATAAAGCAAAGACTGTAGTCAACCTTATTAGGAAAAATTCAAAGATTAGCCTATCTAATGATTACAGGAGCAATGGGCTCCACCCCAACTGCTGCTATGTAGATAATGTTGAACATGCCACCATTGCAATTGGAGGTTGAGTCTCAGGCAACAGCTGAGTAAGCTAAAAAGCTGCTCCCCTATATCCCTTGTCAGGGGGGACCCACCAAACTGCTGATTAGGATTGAGTGTGACAAAGTGTTAGCCATATCCATACATACAAATCCGTCAGTATCTGGACAGCAAATATAATGTCGAGATTCATACCAACAGACAACACAAACCAAAAAAATGGTATGAATTGTTATACAGATGGCTCTCTAACAACCTATGGCTCAGGAGGAGGTATTTATTGAAAAGACAAGGAAAAAGTTTCATTTCCTCTTGGCAAACATGCTTCGGTATTTTAATCTCAGATACTAGCAATTTGCCATTTCGCTTAAAACCTACTGCTAATTATGCACGGTCATGGTTAGGGACCGTGGCAAGGATAGAGGTTTTTTCAAAATCAAATGAGTGGTTGAGGGTTAAGGCATGTTCTGATAGTTTGGAGGCGGAAGGGTTCCGGGAGGAAGTTATGGATGTTTTATATTGAGAATTGTGGGTTCTGAGATGATTTTTGGTTTCACCAATTATTACAATTACAATTAGGTTACAATTATATATTACACTACAACAATTGTTAGCATCTATTTACTTCAGTTTAGGATCTTGTTACTTAGTTTACTCTTTATAATTTTAAAAAGCTTATTCACATTGTTTATAATTTTTTGTTTGAATATTATGTAACTTCCACAATTCTCTATCTTTTTGTATCTTGTCCGTTCTAGCCCTGAAGAAGACCTGTAAAGTCAGGTCGAAACATTGGCTTTTAATAAAATAGTTTTACCACTATTTAGCCTATTTATGACCGCAACCCCGGACTTCCTTTATAATGCAACGGTCAACTATTAAATATTCATTTTTTTTTTTTTATTTATGCAACATATTAAAAAGTTTCCTCCCATATTATTATTCCTTCGAAACTATATTATCTCTTAATATCCATGTCAAATTTGTTCAAAAATAATATATCATGCCTAAATCTGTCAACTTTTGAAACCATCTGGGTATTTAAACCTCTCAATATTTTAATGACTTTAATTGTAGTTGTAAGATTTTATATTTTGAAATTGGAATTTGTCACTTTCTCTTTCGAATCATACCTATTCCATAAAAATCCGTAGCTCCTGAGAGCTGGAAAAAGAATCTATTCTACCGTACTATATATTCTATATATTGAGTAAAGATTAGATCCAGACCAGGTATACTGCCCTGATTCGGTCTAATTATAAGAATAATGCTTGTTCCTTAGATATATTAAAACCAATTTTTGTTACTAACTGGATTTTAAACCAATTTAATAACAGCAACCATGATAATAGCTGCATGTGTATGATAAACTAAAATTTGCATGATTCAAACAATTTAAATATGGAATTAATTATCATTTAGATATGTCACCTTAGGCATAGCGCTGAAGTTACAATCCGAAAATTTGTTATATTTATTTTGAAAATTCACTAAGATATACTCCAACCCACCATCAATATCCATAATTCCTTTCTTGCAATTAACTAAATCAGTAAATTCTAGTAGTACTAAATTAAGACTAAGATTGGATGCACACAAAAAAATCAATTAATTGGAATAATTTAAATGAAAAATATATAATATACATATATTAAATGGTTATAATTTAATTCAAGTAAATTAATGTGGTTTTTTTTCTTTGATTTACTTACTTTTATGGTGTATAGTGAAATTATTTGTTTCTTGTTTACATAGATTAAAATGTGGAGTATGGTAGTTTATCATTATGTAAAAGTGATTTTCGCATGCCCTCCTCACTACTTTCTTGGTCTGGTTTGTATTTAAATTATAAAATTAAATATTTCCAAAAACTTTTTTAACATTATCATTTCTATTGGTAATTGGTACATTCTTTTTTTACTTTTATATATTTATTATATTTATAAGTTATTACAGGTGCTTGTTCTATATTATAATTATGGATATTTGTACATAGATTATTCTACATGTAATACAAGTACAAAGGTTTTTAAAATTAAAATTTATTGTTTTAGTCGAGAAAATTTGGAAGATACAAAACATTAGACCTAGACAACTGTAACGAATATCGATATCCAAAAAAGCATTACAGGGGTGTTCCATGTGCCCCTTTACGTAAGTAAAAAGTTTATTTTTGCTTAAAACATTGCTTTTGTTTTGCAATATAAAGGAACAGAACCTTTTAATTTAAAATCAGTCAAAACCATTTATAATGAACTTCAGAAGATCATCAAATTTTGTACGTTATGAGCATTGTTGACTTTATCCAATATATCACTTATAGTGAACAGCTTGTTATACCTAAACATTATTCCCGATACATACAATATATATAAATACTGTGAAGCTTTCATAATACTTTTGCATAAAAGTAATTTAATAATGATTTGTCAAGAGTTTTGAGGAATTTCAAAATATAACTTGATTGAATATTTATTTACATATTTTTAAAATTGACGCATTGTAATAATATTGTGAATATGTATATTTTGAATACTGCAGTATTATGTAACTTATTATTATTATATACTATTAGACAAATAATTAAAAACAGATCAACACAATGCATGTTATACAATAATAAAATAAACTAATATATGAATAAATGTGAATAGATAGAATTATTCACTAATGTATATTGAAATCCATTATCTTTTTTCTGCATTTTGCCTAGATTATTTTTCCCGCTGGCTTGAAGATAGTCAGCAAACCTTGTCATTCTTTAATATTTGGATCATTTTTAATAAAATCTTAAGCAATGTTCCACAGACTGTGTCGACTTCTGCAACATTATGTTTCCTAATTCCTCACTCCCCTCCTTTTCACCATTATCAGAATTAATATTTTCATAATTTTAGAAAATTTGTTCGTCCATTAACCATTTTGAAGTTTCAACTTGGTCGTTCACATTAAAAATTCATCTATAGCTCAGAGTTGAAATTAGAGAGAGCATTCTGGAAATCAAAATATGATGTATTATTTGTAATGGTTGAAGTTCATTTGGACACATTTATTGAGGTCAGACCAGAATAAACAAAACAGTTAACTATAGTTTCCTTAGACATCATAGCCCATGCCTTTGGAACCATCAGAGACAGTTATTTTAGATCAAACATTTCTTCCATTTGAATGGTTTCATCCACATTAAAAAAATCATTTTCTTCAATGTAGCCTTTTTTTTATTTTACGGTACCAGATGTTTTTATGCCAGTCTCCAGTCAAACTATGATTGACACTTGCTGACTCTGCTTTAATTTTTCTGAAGAACGTATGGAGAGTGCAAAATCTTTCTATCCATGAGATACTGTAGGTGAAATTTTCTTTTTTTAAAAGAGAAGCAAACTCACTTGCTTGGGTTAGATTTATTTTAATAAAGAAGTATATATCTTATGATATCTTCGGTTTATTGCAAAAAGTTATTAAGTGAAATTTATTTCATAACCTTACATAATTGAGAACTTAAGTGAATTTTCTTTTTATGAAATAAAAATATTATACACTTCTTGTAACTAGATTTCATATATAAAAGGGTTTGTTTCATTTTTATAGATTTATAAAGTATTTATAGATAAAGTTTTTTATATCGATTTTTCTTTAAATTATTATTGATAGGTTGTTCATGCAAGAGTTTCATCTTGCAAACTCTTCTAAAAGTTGTTTCACATGAGGTATCAAATATTATGGCTTCATCTGAATCAGTATTGGGCCCACAAAGAACCATTGGTTCGTACTTTGTTGTAACTTTAGTCTACTTTAAAAATGAATCTATTAGCATTTGACAAAAAGTAGATCCATTCTCAGAATCAGCAAAAAATAGATTTTTCATCAGAATCGACAAAAACCTATGAAATTTGTTTATGTAATTTATTTGAAAATTTGACACTATAATACAGAAAATATTGAGTTTAAAGAAACAAATTTCGCCTAATTTTTTTTTCAAAATCAGTTCATTATAAAGCAATACACAGTCATTTTTACTGAATAATTATTCCTTGATGGTCAAAAGTCAAAATAGAGAAAAACTAAAAAAACTCACATTTTTTTCAAAATGATCTGGAGATCTTTTGAGTAGAGCATATTAAAAAATAAGTTATTTATTTTATGCATTGTTAAATGTATATTACTAACTATTTTATTTTTATTTTACCTATGAAATATCATTGACTATATATCTAATACGTTATAAATGCTTGTTTTTTATTCCTAATGTTGTTATAAACGATTTTGACGGTGATCATAATTATTGAAAACTAAGCGTGTTGGTGCAGAATCCTGCAATTAGTGCTGCTCTTACATAAGCCTTTTATTTTATACAATTTGTTTCATTAGTCTAACACTCCCCAATCAGGAACAAAAACGCGCAGAACCTCATGATTTAAAACAAGGAGTTTGTGGTGTTGTCGGCTCTGGTTTATCATGTTACATTTAATTGATTAGATTTAAGTTATTTCCCTTTATTTATAAAATTTACCCTAAATGGAAAGTACTGTCTATATACTAATCGACATTTTATCAAAGGAAATAAAATAAAGAAAAAATTTGACATTGTACATCACCATGATGAGAAGTCGACAAGATTGAGGTGTGGACTGTTTGTTATCCGACCTATTTACTGGAAATTTTTGTTGAAGAAGGATACCAATTAAAGGATTGCTATATCTGGTACAGAAAGGTTGGCTAGTTATTGTCAAAAATAAAAACATTATTCTTAACTCCAATGTATATTAAAAAATATCATTAGTGTATGGTAGCAAACATCATCTTTTCTGATTGCTGTTATAATCTAATGAACAAACAAATGAATAAGTTATTTTTGTCATATTCACACAAAATTTCTTTCCTCAATTCTCAACATTCAATTTTGAAAGTATTCTGTCAGTTATTATTTGAACCTAGTGTGGTCGAAATCAACAAAACTTTAATTTCATACCAAAAATAAAATGAACTAAGAGTTAAAATAAAGCAATTCTTTTTTGTGATTTTAAAAATCAATTGAATAAAAATTTTATTTAACTTATTTTCTTTTAATATTATGTTTAAGTTTATCTTTTAAGCACAAACAAATTTAAAATATAAAAAAGATCTTTTAAATGTGTGCAAATGAATTCAAATACAGCACTCACTGCCCTTTAATGTATTGACATGGAGCGAATCATGATTCTGTATGTTTGGAAGTTGTGCGAGACTGTGTGGTTCACCATCCAAACCACACATGCAGTTTTAAGTTGCTTGAAAAATATTTTTGTTGAATATATGACCCAGTTCTGCGTAACCGATTTGGACGCTGCTTAAGAGCCGGTTCACACAAAGAAGTGGTTAGCCGATTAAACTCCAGGTGCACTGTTGCCAAGCTACAAGTTGAACTAAGTGCGAACACTTTAAGACTATTTATAGAATACTTTTCATTACCAACTGGTAGTCTCGCCTTTTGAGGGTGGGTTCTAAATTTCAGAGATTCAGGCTTTAAAGGGCCAACTAAGTTGACTTGAAAATATATACAGTCAAAGGTGTGTTACATTGGTATTGTATTTATCTTTTACTCTTTTAATTACAATCTAGGAATAAGTTTCATTTTATTACTATTGCATATTAATATTATTGACAAAAAGTAGATCACATGGTATATATATATATATATATATATGCATTTTTTTTTTCGGGCTTTTAACTTTGCCATTAATTCCCCATCCTTACCCCTGACCTGGGAAAAAATATGTATAGCCGCAAAGATGAGGAAGCGGAAGACAAAAATAAAATCTGATATGTTTAGTTGACAAATTATTACATACAGTCTTAGATCTCTCTAATGTACAAAGCTCGGTATCCAGAGATAATCCGGTTCTAGACTATAGACCTTGTAGATCTGTGGCCACCTTAACCAGGTGCCTCCATCTCTGCTATTTTTTTTTAACTTATCTGTAAGCAACTCTACAGCATCTTTGTTGATTCGATCTATACATCTGGTTTTTGCCCTTTCTCATCTCTTGCCTACTTTTGAGAAATGCCATATTATAGACGAGGATCACAGGGACTCAGATAGTTTGTGTGATTGCCAACTACTAATTAATATATAATTAGATAGATCATGGCATAATAAAACTTAAAATTTCTATATAAACCTATGCTAAACTAATGAAATTACCCACAATAATAAAAACATTCTCTGCTATCTGCTATATTATTGATTAGCGTTTATCAAACTTTTATGGCCATAGAACCCTTAAGGTATAAATTCTTAGGGAATGAACATCTTCTCTTCTATCTTCTCAAACACCTTGGTAGATTGTTAAGGAAATTAAAGTCTACAAATATTTAAAATTCGTTTAGTAGTTGGGTGCCTTACACTCCCACACGAAACTCAAGACTTTCCATTCTCCATTCTTTCTATTGAATGTTTTTAGTGTAAAAAATGATAAAATAAATATAGCCAAATCCTTGTATTATGAACATGTTTAGTTTTTTTAAGTATTGACGATTTATATTAAAAACATATGATCATGAACTTACACATGATATGATATGAAATTACCAAAAATTTGAGAATATTTAAAATATAATGAAATTTTTCTCAGTGTTTTGAGCTCAAATTGTTTAAAAACATACAACCCAGTGTTGGACAACCCACACAAATATGTCACGATAGTCGAGCGTGTTAAGGCATAAACTTTAACATTCTTATGTCTAGCTACATCAGTGTGAATCATGCTTGGTTTTGTTGTACTTCTAGAACAACATCCTATAAATAATATAAAATCTACATAATTATTGCAAAATGAACATAATTCTGAATAATTTTAAAAATAAATTGATATATATAGTTTTATTCATATATATATATTTGAAAATATCTGAACCAAACAACTGAAAATAACAAATATTTGTACACATTAAACATGGAGGAGAGGGGATACAACCTCTGTAACATTAGTATAACTTTTTCACCTTAAAATGAATAATGTTAAAAAGTGAAAAATATTTTTGATTTCTTAGTATACACAATCTCAAAATAAAAACATGTTTTCACTCTCTGAATAATAAAAATGTCTGTAAAAAATATTTATACGATATTATCAATAAAAGTATGACATCCACAATTAGGCTAAGTAAGCCCTTAAGGGATTACAAAAATCCAGATTGATGTTGGTGTATAAGAGACATCCAAAACATAAGAAGCTATCGTGGGGTAGAAATTCCGACTACAGGCTAGAAACTCTTATCAGAGGCTGATGAAAGGAATTAAATAACCAAAATAGTGCATCAAAGAAAGAGATATGAAACTCAATTCAAAATTGAGCTGAAGAATAAATTGGAACCCTTAATCTCCAACACATGGTCTCACAGTTGACCAACATTAGAGATACGAGGGTGGTCTGCTGAAAAGTTTCCAACCTAACAAAAATACAAGACATTTTATCTGAATTTTTTTTTTTTCAACATAGTCTCCTTGTAACTCTACACACTTCTCCCAGTGATGCTCCCAGCTCTGTAACCCGTCCAAAAAGTACTCCGCGTTTTTCTCTCCAAAATTTTTCATGAAGGTATGTTGATCTTCATCTAATGAAAATCTCTTTCCTCCGAGCGTAATTTTTGGATAAGGGAACAAAAAGAAGTCGCTTGGGGCTAGATCTGGTGAGTAAGGCAGATGTTGTCAAGCACCTCAAACCATAATTCGTGGATATTCGCCATGGCAACCGCTGAGGTGTGGTGAGATGGTGCGTTTTCTTGGTGAAACAGGATTTTCTTTTTCTGCTACTGTGGCCGTTTTTCCGTAAGTTCTGCCTTCAGCTTGTCAATTAATGATGTGTAGTATGCTCCTGTAATAGTTTTTCCTTTTTGAAGATAGTCGATTAAAATAACACCATGACTATCCCAAAAAACAGTCGCCATCACTTTTCCAGCCGAGAAAACAGTTTTTGCTTTTTTTGGAGCCAGTTCCCCCTTCTTCTTTCAGCCGGATCCTTTGCAGTCAACTGTTTGGGCTGTATTTTTGTTTCGGGCGTATAATAGTGTATCCAAGTTACAGTAATTAATCAGCGCCTAAACTGTGTCAACAGAGCGTTGGAAATGTTCATTTGAACACATTTTTGGTCTAACGTGAGCAAATGCGGCACCCAACGTGCGGACAGCTCTCTCATATCTAAATGTTGATTTAATATGTAAGAAACACACTCTTTTGACATGTTCATAACTTCTGCTACTCTCTCACTTTAATTTGGCGGTCGTCTAGCACCTTTGGTGAATTTTGGCGATGTTTTCGTCGATAGTTGCAGTTTTTGGACGTCCCGAACGTTCATCATCTCCCAAGCTCTTAAGGTCACGTTTAAATTCAGCTTCCCAAAATTGCACTGTGGTAAATGATGGTGCAGAGTCCCCATACACAGAATCCAACTCATCTTTAATTTGAGTAGGCGAAAATATTCCACTAAAACGAATTTTTTTTAAACAAGAAAAATTATTTCTTCCCTTCTTTCTTAATGTTTGTTGCAGTATTGGGCATTATTGAATGAATTTTTATTCCAATCAATTTTCAATCACTAGTATTTTAGTGATTGACAATCTTAGAATACTCCTCTGATTTATTCTTAGAATTATTTATCATACTTATTTGTAAAAGAAAAAAATAAATTAAAAATATGCTCTAAATAAATATTTGTTCAATGAAATTATTTGTTATTGATTTTGATTTTTTTTTTTTGTAATTCAAAAGGAGGGGAGGGAATAATATTCTTGCCTCCTCTCTGTCTTTATTGGGGGGTTTCATGTTGCCATCAAAATTTTTGAGAGTGGCACATTTTGACGGGATTATGAATTTTCGAAATGAAAAGTTTCAAATCAAAAGACAAATATAAACATGAAAATTACTGCAGGTTGTGTGGATGTCTCTCCCAATTATTGGTCCTAGGAATGTTGATGCTCCAGATAGTATAACTTTATTTTATTTATAACATAAATTTCAAATCATGACAAAGGAGCACATCAGACTTTAGCCATAAATCGCTATGAAAATATTGGATTTTAAGTTTTGAAGATGGGAATAATTTTCATGAAACATCAACTTAACATTTAAATCAACAAATAAACCATTTGTTTGTGTATCTCGAAGATTTCATTGCCGAAAAAAGAGAGTAGTAATTATTATAAAAAATGCTCCAACCCCTTCCAGGCCATAATAATAGCTCCTTATATCAATGAAATCCGTTGATTAAAAAAGTTAATTTTTAATGAAGCTAGACATAATTAAAAAGCCAATAAAATAAATATATATATGTATTTATGGAATGATTAATATTTTGATAATATTTATTCAGTGAATATTTGCCTTAAATAAATTTTTATTCACCCAATATTTTTATTAAATTAATTTTGCTCATTAAATAACAAATAAAGTACGATTATTCCTGTTATTTTTCAATTTATAACGAATAAATGTCTAATTAAGATAAAACTAAATTTTCATTCATTATTATTTATTCCTTATTCGAATAAACTTTGTCCAACATGATGGTAGTCATAATTGTTTCTCACTAGATGATTGATATGTTTGGTTTAGTGGCAGTGTAGCTTTCCTGAGGATATACTTAATATACGCATCAAACTTCCTTCAAGGTGTTTTCAATTAGAAAAAAGTGAATCTAATTTTTAGAATCAAGTACGCTCTTAAACATTCATACTGTATTGATAATTATATTTTATCAATGATTATTTTCATAAAAAAATCTTTTTTTAGCTATGAGAATAAGTCATGGAAAACAGCCTCCTGCAAAAGCCTATTCGCATGCAAAAAAAAGAAGTAAGTTAAATCTACTAATTTATATTAACTCATCTGTTGAGGAAAAATATTTAGAAAAGGAAGTCATTGTAGATACAACTTCATTAGCTATCCCCTAGTGTTATAAATAATTAAAATTAAAACATCAAATGTTTAAGTATTCTTCTCTTCACTCTTTAGTCCACTAATAAACCCGCATCTGCTTTAATACTATTTATGATATGATGAAAGCATCATACTGTCCTCAACCTGACCTAAAGCTGATAATTTTTTTCTCATGTGTGATAGCCTTACTTTTTTCATTAGCCTGTTGTCTTACATAATGGTAGAGCCTTATGTAATAAAAATGATTCCATTTTCTACAATATCTAGATTCAAATTTTATGGTCCCTTTGTGTTTTTTAAGCCATTTCTAATGTTTCACTTCTACCTTATGGAAGTTTATTAAGTTTTTAAATGCTTAAGAAAGCTAATGTAGTGTTTATAAGCTCTCGATGTTTAGACATTATTTTTTGCTAAATTTAGAAGGTTTCATATTGATTCCTTAAGGCAATGTCTACACCTAATTTCATATATCGCAAGAGATTGTTACAAAGTTATTATTTTATCGTTCAGAGATGTAAGAGATTTTTATGTATTATTGTATTCCAAAAATTTGTTTATACCCCCAAGTATCTGTTTCTGCATGGCAAATTAAATCAGTTCTGTATTCGGACTGGTTTTCAAGGTGTTTCAATGAAATATAAGCCTGCCTTATACCTTCCACCATTAGTCTTTTATTGAAAAATGTCTTTATTTTCTGACAATTCTGCTGACAAGGAGCCTAAAAGTTTTCTGTACTTCTTGAACAAGTGGAAGCTAACTGCTGTGATCTACTCAAAACTCTAAAAATGGTCCAGAACTATATTTTAATTTATAAATAACACCATTAGTAAATTACAGTAGGTGGACATTCACTGTTCTATGGTTAAGAAAACTGAAGGGAGTCCTTTGAAAAGTCATACAGTAGTGTTATGTTGATTTTTTTTTTTTCATTAAATAAATCACTTAACATTCCAAATGCTAAATGATTTCTTTACTAAAAGATTACCTTAGTTTTGTTGGACTAAAGTTAATAAATAACTTCACAAAAGCAGGTATTGCTATCATAATGAAAGATAATAGAAAACTAATTGCTATTATTTTTCAGTATTATGGTGTGCTGCATTCAGTTACTTAATTTATTGTTATCAGTGGTTTGCTCAATCTATTTTGGAAATAATTTAGTGAAACTTTATAACATATCACTACTGATTTTGTATAATTCTATTGATTTATAACTTTATATGAAATTAATTTTTTTTCTTTGTTTCTAGGTAAAAATGGAGAACTTATTAATAGTAAAATCTTTAATTCGTTTGTTAAACTTGAAAAGTTAGAATTTCAGGTTTATTTGAAGTATGCGAAAGAAGTGTAAATTATTGAAAAGACTTGTGTATAACTTATTATTGTGTATATTTATTTTTTGCTAATAAATTTTTTATTTTTTACTTAGTAGGTAGTTGATTTTTTTATACTATGAAAAATGTTTAATTATTTATATCTATTTTGGTACCTCTTTATTATACTTATTTACTATCTATCCAAAGTATATAGTCATCACAGCCCTTCAAATGCAATATTATCATGGTAACATATTAAAATGCCGTATTTTGCTGATTTTTGGGAGTTCCTGGAGTTAAAACTTCTAAAACAACATCACAGCTGGACTCTTCTTGTCTATCTTCACTTGCATTGAAATGTTTGCTGTTTGTTAAGTTAATATTTTCTATTCTCTTGTAATGAATGGTTCACTGTTGATTCAATTTGTCATTTCAAATTTAGTATGCTTAAAATTGTTACTTCAATCTATCTTTACAAGAAGAGGATTGATGCAAACAGCAATCAGACAGATATTCTGCAAGTTGTGCACATAAATGCTTTTCTCCAGGAATTATGGATGAGAGAAGATAAAAAAAATAGAACGAATTCTGGGACCTGCAGATTTCAGTACTATAAAGTACATCCTGGCAACAAGGAGAGGAAATTTTCAAAATTAAAATATTGTTTTAGTGACCGACACACAGTGGTTCAGAGGCAAAAAAATAAATAAAATTAAAGTATTCCAAATAAACTTTTTGTGGAATATTTTGTTTCCTAAATTAATATGCTCTTCAGTTTTCCCAATTGAACCCTAAAATTACAAATTAAACAGCAATTTCACTAAAATTAATGGTATTTAAAGTTAAATTAATTTTTTTTTTAATGATGTAGAGATGGTTGACCGTTGATATAATATGAGAAGGAGTTAGTCGAGGGTGCGGTCAAATAAATAAAAAATTAAAATATATTAATTATTTTAATTTTTGTCGACGTTTCGACCCACTTTGCAGGTCGTCTTCTACGCCCTGAAGACGACCTGCAAAGTGGGTCGAAACGTCGGCAAAAATTAAAATAATTAATATATTTTAATTTTTTATTTATTTGACCGCACCCTCGACTAACTCCTTCTCAAATTTTTTTTTTAATTTTTAGTAAGAATTAAATAATTGATTTTGTCTTTAAAATGTTTAAATATTAAAGTATCAATAAGATTAGAAAAAAATTAATTTGCTACAGTCTTACTGTTCTTTGTTTTCGTTGTTGTGACTATAAAAATCCAAGCATAATATAAGTATAAATGGAATTAAGACAACTATTGGTAATAAAATCGAGCTCTATTGGGAACATACTGGTAAACAAACACACTCCAAGTTGTTCCTAGTAGAACTGTGTCCTAAGAGAAGTGCAGCACTCCTTCTCCATTACAGAACCACCATTACAAGTGTGAAAAATCTATACCTTAATAAGTACCTTTTTAAATGCAGGCTTTATGGTCTGGAGGATGAAGCCGCCTATCTCTTCTTCTTCTTTATCATCTTTAGTGCCTCTCAGCGTAGAGGTGCCCCGATCCAGGACTGCCAAGCCTCCCGATCCCAAGCCAGTGGTTTCATTGAATTCATAGACCCGTTCTTTTCATCAATCCTGGAGATGTGGTCCATCCATAGCAATCTAGGTCTTCCTCGAGAAAGGTATCCAGTAGGCCTGGCCTCAAATCACTTGGATCATGGTCCTCATCCATTCTGCATAGATGACCAAACCATCCCTACTACCTCTTTTCGACTGTTTTCCTTAAAGTTGGCATTCCCAGGTCTCCCCATATCTTTTCATTCCTAACTCTGTCCCTTCTTGTTTTGCCTGCTATTCTCCGGAGGTACTTAATTTCTGCAGCAGTAGCTCTACTCCAGTGCCTGTCCAGCGGGACCCAGCTCTCACTTCCATAAATAAGGGTAGGTAAGTATATGGATTTAAAGATATGTAATTTTACACTTTTTTCCAATTCCCTTTTCCCCACCTCTGTGCTGCATAGCTGATAGTATATGCTGTTAGCTTTCTTTATTCTGTTTGAGAGCTCTTGGTCTATTTTCCCGTTTCTGCTGAGCACTACTCCGAGATAAGTGTACTCTTGCGCTGTCTCCAAGACATCTCCTCCACAGCTAACCAAAACTTCCTCCTCTTAACATGATTTGTTTCTACTTTATTTAATAATTGGATTTTAAGTGTGGTCTTTTATTATTAGACAAACGAACAAAAAGTTGTGGTTCAAGAGTATGATAAATCTAACTTTTTCTGAAAATGACATTTTACTAACATTTTTAAAATATTTGTAAATGTAGACTAGTTGGAGATTAATTTGCATATGTATGTATATTCTAATAGGGAATTTAAGTTTCTACAACTTTGTTTAAATGAATTTCTTTCTCTGGTGAATATATTCGACGATTTGAAGGAATGTTTGATAAAAAATGTGAGGTAAAATGATTTTTTCCGAAAATGTCATCTTTTTCCGAGATTGTAGCTCGAAAACGGTTTAGAATTCGGATAAAATCCCTAGAATAAAAGTTTTAGATAATTTTATAAACTTAAATTTACTATACAAAAAAATTCCCCTATGATGCACCGTTTTCGAGATAAAAGCGAAAATCCAAAAATTGTGGCCTTTCCTCCCTCCCTGGCTCACCACCTAGATGTCTGAACTTTTGATATGTTCATACTCTAATCACCCTGAACAAGTTTCTGAATGAATCACTTGGATCCCTGCTCAGGTACTCTACACCCCCTTTATGGACATTCATTGACTGGGCTTAAGAGTGTTAGCAGACCTCAAGAACTACAGAAAAGTTTAAGGCTGAAAAGAGGAAATTTAAATTTTTGTTTTTTGAAGTATATCATGTTTTTGGTTGAATAGGAAGCAATAACTGAAAAATATTTAATGTAAGAAATTAAAAATTGCTTCACTGTAAAATTTAAAGTGTAAACTAGACAAATTTTACTTTAAATAAAAATAGACTTTAAAACCATTTAAAAAGGACTTTTGATTGGCTAAACTAAGCTAAGTTCTCTCTAAAAAAAAAAATTAATTTTTATTTGTTATCATTCTCCAACTATACTACAGATACCTTACTTTTGGAAAAAAATTCTTGTTTAACAAGACTTAAGTTCTTATTAATTAATTCGAGGTTTATTAGGGAAAAAATTGACATTTAGCTCAAAAAAATGATGTTATTTTACATCCTGTCACCTAAAAGTACCATATTTTCAGCAAAAATGAGAATAATAAATGGTTGCAAAACTTTTATTTCTAATTTTTCCATGAGCTGGGATGTATTATAATAAACATATGTACACTCTTTATTCATTAAAAATAAATAAATAAATATTTCAAACATTTTTCATGTAAAGTTGTTATGAAAATGTTTTTTTTCACCCAGCTCTCTAATACAGGAATTGATCGGTATTTATAAGTGACAAACTAAATGTTCCTGATACTAATATTTACGTTTTCATTAAAATAATTGAATTAATCAGCAGTTCTTTTTAACGTAAACTTTAGGATTAGAAACATCCATTTTGTCACTAATAAATACGGATCAATTCCTGTAATTGAGATCTTGGTACAAAACAAATTTTCTATCTGTAATATAGTTAGAGAATGAAAAAAAAAATTTATGATTTTTAAAAAACAGAACAGCTTAGTTCAGCTGCTCAAAAGTCCTTTTTAAATGGTATAATGACGAACATTATTTTTTTATAAAGTAAATTTTCTCTAGTTAACAGTGAAGTAATTGTTAATTATTTTAACTAAATATTTATTTAGTTAACGCTTCCTATTCTACAAAATTTAAATTTCCTGCTGTTCTGCCAAAAATCGGATCAATAGTTGTATAAACTTTCAACAACTTGAGCTAAACCTCAAGTTTTTCCCTAATAAACCTCGACTTAATTAATAAGAAATTAAGTCTTGTTAAACAAGAAATTTTTTCCAAAAGTGAGGTATCTGCAGTATAGTTGGAGAATGATAACAAATAAAATTTTTTTTTTTTTAAAGAGTACTTAGCTTAGTTTAGCCAATCAAAAGTCCTTTTTAAATGGTTTTAACAATGACAAAGTCTATTTTCATTTAAAGTAAAATTTGTCTAGTTTACACTGTAAATTTTACAGTGAAGCAATTTTTAATTTCTTACATTAAATATTTTTCAGTTATTGCTTCCTATTCAATCAAAAACATGATATAAGTATTTGAGATATTCAAATAAATAAAAACTCGAGCAATAAAAAATAGATAACTTTTTAAATTAATTTCACTAGTGATAGTAGGTATCCTTTCTTGTAATACAAATATTTTATAAATGTTTAAATTTAAATGTTATAGTTGAAATTGACCTAGTATTATTTTAAAAATCATTTCAATCATTGTCAACCATTAATCCAGAATTTTTTTTTATCCTCTATCTTGCCATTTCTCGCTTATGCGGAAGGAGAGAGGTAGTTGTTTTAGAATTACAACTAAACATATTCTAACCAGAGTGGGATAGTCTAGATTCATTCTGTGGGTCCATCATAAAATGAATTTCAATCTGTCTAGGCCAAATTCCAAGACTAAGGAATGTTGAAGCATGTAACACTTCAACTCATCAATGATCATTTAGCCATCACAGCCTCTTGTAAAAATATATATAGTGTATTATCCAAACTTAATTTGAATGTAGATTTATAAATTAAAACCTTATTAGGCCCTCTCCGGAGCCGGATCTGCAGCCCCATTCTTATCAGGCTAGCAATTAAAAGATATTCTAGAAAACATCAATGAGATTGATAGCATTTATGCCAAAAGAGAAAAATAATATTCTGCTGCACTCAAAACAAATGGCCAACAGTACCATGATGTAGATTAAAAGACAATAATAGGAAACTCTTTTATGCTCTATGTTAGTAACCTGTTATAGTCTAAAATGGACAATCAAAATTAATTTTATGGGTCTTTCATAAAATAAATTTCACCGCAAGCAGAATACGAACAGCACTACTGTAACTCAAGAATACTGAGGTGCTACCTTA